CGAGACACTTGGAACAACTGTAGCGACCTCATCTTCGTCCAGCGGCATAAGCACCTCAGAGAACAGTAATGGTACCGATGACAACAATACGGCTCCTACCGGAGCAATTGCTGGAGGTATCATAGGCGGCGTTGCATTGATTCTCATCCTTGTTATCCTTTTTATTCTATGGCATCGCAGAAGGCGAGCGCACATGGGTTCTCCATCAACGATACCCGAGCTCACACCACGACGTCCGGTTTTGACGCCGTTTACACCTTTTTCCAACAATCCAGATATCGAGACTAGAGCCCTTGATGGGAGACCAACCTTAAGCCCCGTTAGAAAACAACGAGATGGGACGCCGATGAACGTGCCTCGAAGCCAGCACTCCGCTTCAGCCAGCGTAAACTCAGGTTCAGAGATGCTTAGAGCGGGGCGCCAGAACATGATCAGCGAACAAATAAATAGCCTGAAGAAGGAACTAGATGCGCCAGGAAGTTCTGCGAGCGGATCGAGTCGGTTTGGACGCTCAGATGTGACCAAAATTCTGCAGCAGAACCAGGAAATGAAGGAGGAGATCGAGCGATTACAAGCGCAGCTGAACTCAGATTGGGCACTGGGACTTACAAACGAAGCCCCGCCGGGGTACTCCAGGCATCCGGCTGGTTTGACCTCCAGCGCCGCACCTGTCACCGTTACCTGAAATTCTTCTCTCAGTACTTTGCTCTTGGCTCTGATATTCCTTGTGCTGTGCGTTGGTCGTGGATTCCATCTCTAGTTCAACTGTATTACTACGCTGTACGTTTTAACACACCTATCCAGCACAATGGTCCATGCTTCGGGGTTGGTGTCCTTTCGTCCAATTTGGTGTGATGTTTATGGCGTTGAATGTCCACCACATGTGGTGACTGCCTATCGATTTATCCTGTTCTTTAACTCCTCACAAGATTAAGATTTCAAATGGAGCTCCGGACAATCTCTCAAAGAGGTTGCGCAAGGTGACTTAGAAGAGCTGATTGAACTTATATTTGGGGGTTATCTGCTGTACGATCGAGGGCGAACCTGGGGTAAGTACTTCAGGGACTATAGATCAAAAGTTGGTTGTGGGTTATGTGGCACAGTGAGCTACATTTGCCACTCATTTCATTCTATATTAAGCAACACGGCCCTTAAATGACAACATTCGCCTTCTTCCAGAGCAATGACAACGTCTACACCAGAAATCCGGATTCGCTCCAGTGAAAGTTTTCACAACACAGCAACTTGGTGCCATACTCACCTGCTGCCAATAGGAAAACACTGGGTACGTAACATTCTTCGACTTCCTGGAAATCCCAATCGATGTGATTATACCCCGTAAATATGTACATCATCACCAAGCGACGTTCATTCAAGAGATTTCGTCCCGAGATCGAATCTATGAAAGATGTTATCAGTCCTTGGGAGACATCCTATCGTTTTCTGGAGCAACCCCGGTACGCTCCAGGACGATAAATTGAAATATCGCACTTCCGTTGATAACGAAAAATAACACATGAATCGTATAAGCCGAAACACCTATATAGAGTATGCTGACGAAGCTTCGCACACTCGTACTCAAGCATTCCCTCCCTTTCCTTAGATATCTTGGAACTTAAGCTTACGCTGTCAAGATCTACGTAGTTCCACCTGCAGGACGTTATGATCTTGTCTGCTATCCATCACATCTCGAGCTGATGCTAAGGTGTCGAAGGATAGTTTCTGTGCGAAATTCGGAATGGTCTTGCTCTTTTAGCGATCTCATCCATTTGACTCGGGGTACGGAGGATCGTTGTCACATTCGAAATGTATTTTCTCCGGAAACTTGGAGGCCTATGCGTTTACGGTGCAAAGTAAGTTACACCGGTCGATTTCTTGATCGTATGAGGTGAAAGGCAATATACCAAATGAATAACGAAAGAGTTCAAAAACTATTCGTAGTTTGTCGTTAGCGCTCACTGGGTGTTGACGATCACCAACAAATCTATTACCTTCAATACAGCCAATGATCTGTAGGTGTAATGGATCAGTGAAGGTCATCAAAATGAAAAATTATATGACACGAAGAGGTATCAGAAGAACAGGAGGAGCAAGAATATCATCCGTATGACAGGAACAACCATGAATGCGGTAATAAATTAAATAATCAAGGTACAGAAATCCCCGACGAGAAAGGATACGCTGGATGCAGAACGCTTCAGGGCATCGTATCTTTGGACAAAAATTCGGCGAAACAGATTTCAATATGGTCGATCTTCGTTTCTATAGAAATATTCTCCATCACCATAACCACGCGTCAAAAGAGACACCCCTGTTCCTGTGGAAAGAAATGATCTGACATCTCCGCACAAGCAAAAAAAATTCTGGTTCAATATGGACAGCATATCCTTCATTCAAAACGAAATAGAGCACTGCCATGGCCAACTGCCACAGTTTGAAAAGCGGCACGCACGACGAGTCATCTGTACCGGAGCCGTTAATAGACTCTTAAGCACTGAAACGTGCGGGAGATTGTTATTCCTATGAACCATTTTCATCAATATTTGGAATAATGAAACAACTGCTCGGAGACATTTTGTGATTGTCGCTTGGATTACCGGTCAATGTTACAAGGTGAATTTCGAAGTAGAAATGAGCGCAAACAAGGTAGATATATGAACTTGGTACTTGTGCAATGAGCAAGGAACCGTTGCATCTCAAAGCTAGCGTAAATATGCTATTACTTGTGTAATATAAATAGATTATATAATGTTTCTCTCCCCTTGAAACGGAAATACTGAATTCCTTTCCCATAGAGATAATTTTTTTGTTTCAACCTTCTTTTGTCATACGCGCCTTCTCACTGCCTTTTCAACAATTGTCCCAGTCACCTGGACATCCTCTTGGAGTCTTTAATAGCCAATCTGATCAGCACAGCAGTTCCTCACCACACTACAAGTTACAAGTTCTTGCGCCTTTCCTTGTCCCAGTCTCGTCAAGTCTTGTCCACCGGCGACTGAATAGAGGCTCAACTTGCTCAATGTATGTTTCGTGCCTTGTCATATTCATTGTATCGGAACTAAACAACACAAATCAATTTCAGATTTCTATATCCATCTAATCGGCATCTTGACATCTACCATATCTATTGGCATTGCGCACGCACCGGAGTATTGACTCCTACACGTCTGACCCGAAGTAGGATAGCCATCTATATACACATACCTAACGCCAATCCGGAAGGGTTGTGCGCGCTATAAACAAGGCCTGCGCTCTTAGGGCATTCAGACCTTATCCCTACATCTCACTTCCCCTATAATGTCGTTCTCTGCGCCTCCACAGTCTGCCCGGATACGCCAACCATTGTCTCCGCTGCGCCAGGAGGTCATTACTGAGGGACACGAGCCTATGGATGAGCACGCGCGAAAGGCGAAGCTCACTGCGAGCACTAGTGTCGAGTTGGACTCAGGATCACTCCCGACTCCGCGTCCGTCCCTGCATCGTACTTCGAAACCCCTACATTCAATCCTCAAACGTAAGACTCAGACAACAGAAGAAAGGGAGGATGCGTTTCATAGCGGCCAGGAGCCTGAAAATCGGTGTGTTACACGTTATTTTCTCAGCTCTGTGGACTGACCTACAGGTAGCTTCGAAATATCGGTGGTACGATATCGAACATCCTGCTGCAAGTCAATAGTGTCTATGGAAGATATATCTGATGTACGTGTGCCTTTATATCCCTCCTTTTCTTCGCTTCCGCCATTATTTTATCTTATCTCTCGTCTTACTGAGCATCGACAGTGGATTCACGAAACGCCTTCAAACGTCCATCGATGCCCGTCATGTATGCTCCCCTGCGTCTTGAAGGCCTTGTGCACTCCAACTTCCTCCCAATCCCAATCCCTATTGCCTGCTTCTGTATCCCTTGGTCTCAAATTCGAGCGTGTTCTCCCCCTGGCCCGCTCAATCCTCCGGCAGCAATACGCGAAGATTAAACTCGCTCTACCATCACCTTCTCCCAAGCACCGGCCCGACCCAATGTACGGAATATTCGACACAGACGATGAAACGTATCCTGAAACGGAGTTCACGCGTGTCTTGTCGTCGTCGTTGTTTACCACCGATGTCAAGGAGACTTCGATGAGGCTTCTGAGCATCACAGGGCTAACCCTTGTGCTTCTTGCATTGTTGTCGCAGTAGCTTTCGACTCGCCGATGTTCACAACACTACTTCGATTCTTCGTTCGGATGCATCCCGCATCAGTTCACCTCTAATATAAATGGTACAACCTGGAAATCTGTCATGATTGTACTTACATCTGCATAGTACCTGTATCGTTATTCGTGTATCACCTATATCACTAGCTGTATATCACTAGCCGACAACACCGTTTGCTCGTGCTCCATCTCGAAGGACGATCTGTAATCAACCATATACCTATATATATAGCTTAGGCTAAACTTAATGTAATGGTCTATCATAGCCTTTCTAGAAAGGCCTAGTCTTGACGGCGGCCAGCACTAGATTTGAATCTGGACGAACACCCAAGTGCAAGCAGACATGTGGCCATGAGAAAGGCAAATATTCAAGAGTCAAGCGCGCGCACCAAAGTATGTTATGCAAAATTCATGTTAATTTGCGCCTAAGCTCGAGTGATTGTCATCGAGTTCAGCCTACTGCAGTTGCAATTACAGTGATGGCCCATCACACCGAGTCTGGGCCACAACAGAAATAGAGGAGATCTCATAATGTGGGGAAGGGAGGACCAAGTCAGCTGTTTGGACTTGAAATTGTCAAGGAACCACACAAAATTGTGGCGCCGTTAGAGTTCATCGGATTTGGAAGACTCGGACTGTAAAATGAATATCAAGCGGGGGGCCAGGTTAGCTCGTATTGCATCGTATTACAGGACAGAGGTTGTATGATCAATAGTAATACGGGTCAGAACGTACTAAGGGCGAGGTAAAAGACAACTGCTTTCGCCTCTCTATCTTGAGATTGATTTCGCCTACACGACGACATCGGATATGGTGTAATGGCTAACATTGCCGCCTCTCAATTTCTTGCACATCCTGCTGCGCGGCAGCTCGGGGTTCGATTCCCCGTATCCGAAGAACTTTTTCTTTGGTCTGGCTGAGCAACTTGAACTGTCACTGCGTCCTTTCAGTTCCTGTATTCCTCCATATTTTCGGCCCAGTTCCTGTTCTCCTTACAATTAAGGGATCCGGTGCGTCTTTGCCTTGACTCCTCGTGTACGCCTAATAGCACGAATGCTTCATGTGACAGGCTCTCGACTGTCAGAACGAGCGACATGGCAACCAAGACGTGAAAATGTGAGCTGAGAGCGCTTCTTTTCGAGTTGTATGAACTTCAGAGTAGAAACATTCGTACATATAACGTAACGCGGTTTCTCCATGGTCAAAGGCAATTAATCTTGCTGTGCGTAGAAGACACTAGGCCTAGGTAGAAAACCGGACCAGGGCATTGAAGACCCCAGCTTCTGCCAAATATCCAACAAATGCGTCTTATGTACCAGACTTCTCTATCAATCAGAAGATGATAATCGTACAGCCTGAGAAAGAGAATGACAGAAGCATTGAGGAACATATGTACATAATAATGTCAATTGTCCAATGTGTATGCAGGGGATCAACAATAGGCTGATCAGAAGACACGTGGTTCCATGGAGGCCAGAGAAGCATACGAGTTCAGAGAAGTCTGATACTTCCGCCACATAAAGGAAAGTCAGACACGAGCATAAACGTGCAAGAAAATCAGCAGATTCAGGAATACTTACCGAGTGCCATTAGCGGAGAGATTTCGCTACTTATTTATGAGCACGAGGAAGTGGAGCGGAACTTGATGTTGACATGTTGCGATCAATCCAGATAAGGCGAATGTTCCTCCTTTTGGAATCCAAATTTTCATTCTTCTCTTTCATCTTTCATTATCCTCCGTGATCTAACCCTGATGCTTGGCGAATTGCACGTAAAGAGCGCCGAAGCTTGAATCCAAACAAACGTAAAATCTGGCTCGTCCCCCCTGTGTCTTCACTTCTCCCAACTCGTCCTTTATGCTTTCAGCATTGCTCTAGTCTTTCGTTTCATCCTCCACGCTCTTTACAATCCTAAAAGGCCCTCTGACGCGCTCTCGAGACTCCTTTTCCTCTTTCATCTGAGAAATCGACTTAAAATGCACGTCGCCACGCATAAGCGGGACCATGCACGTATCGGGCGTAACCTCATTCCACTCGAGGCTCGCGCACCTGCCTTTATAACGCTTCCTATATCCATACCACGAATACCTATCCTCGGCCCTTTAATCACTCCACTCATTGCAGGAACGAATAGGCCGGTCGTTACGACATCTCCACACACGCACACGCCAGCGCGGGAAACGACCGTAACTCCTGCCCCCTCGATCTCTCCATCGCCAACGCCAACACCAGCGAGCGACAGTAACGGGAACAACAGGGAGGATAATGGTGGGTCGAATGACGGATCAAACGGGGGGTCAAACGATGGGTCAAAGGGGGGGTCAAATGACGGGTCAAACGGGAGGTCAAACGGCGGATCGAACGACGGAACCTCAACTTCCAGTTCTGTCGAGGGTTTTACCAGTGTCGGGACCGGAATTAGCACAGGGTCTTCGCCCCAGCCGTCTGGTGCGTCTGACAATCCCTCTACTGGTGGAGATGGGGTAGGTAACGGCTCCAGTGGCGAGAGTACACCGAATTCCTTCACCAGTAATGGAAGTAACCTCAATGGTCCCATTGCGAATGGTTTCGGTAATGTCAATCCGACTAGCGGTAGTAATTCAGGAAGCGGCTTCGTCATTGGTGGCAATGCCGACACCGATACTTCCAAAGCTACACCCTCCTCTAGAGAAGGTTTTCCACTCTCTACTGCCTTGCCTGAGCCGAATAGCGCAGCCAACACGGGAAGGTCTGGTTCCGATGATGTTAGAGGTGAACTATCCCGTGGTGCGATCGCGGGTATGGTGATCGTGATTACGTTTGGCCTCCTTGTTGTCGCAGTCATCCTTCTGCGTGGACGCTACCGCCGCCGTCGCTCGGGCAGGAATCAGTGGTGGGATAGATCAGGAACTCGGCTTAGCACGGAGAGTGATACCACATCTAGCGCGAGTCTCTCCGACCTTACCAGCATCCGTAGCAGCTTTGAAACCTCCATTGACCATTCGCAAACTCCAAGACTAACCATCTCATTCGAGAATGTTCCTTCTCTTCCCCCTATGGCCGAAGTTCGTGGCAGTAACAATATCCAACTCTTCAGTCCGAACTCAGCCATCCCTGAATCCCCTGTACTCATCACGTTTGATAACTCACAGGCTCCAGTTACAACCGCGACAAACAATCGAACATCTATCCACAGTTTCACCAGCAGTAGTAGTGGGTCACACTATCTTGTCGTCCCTAGTGATATTCGTGATGACCGGGAAACGTCCTCGCCGATGTCCGTCCGACCATTCTCGCCCTCGGAGTCGTTCTCATTCCCTATGCCGCCTAAAACTCAATCGGGAGACTGGAGCTCAAGTCGACCGATGAGTACCGCTACGCTGCCCAGTGCCTCTCGCTCCTTTAACAATGAAACGGTGGTTGTCCCTGCCCTACCCTCCAATCCCTTCGCTGACCCTTCCAACCCCTTCTCTGATCCTGTCCCTCCTACTGCTGAATTCGCGGAAGTGGAGTCTATTCGACGCCCATTCAAAGGCACACGCCATGATGAGCTTACGGTTACTATTGCGGACAGTGTCAAGGTCTTGCGTCTTTTCAACGACGGCTGGGCACTTGTGGAGAAGCTTCCGTCTTTCGAAGAGATCCTCGCAAAAGAAGGGAAAAACATACGCCGTGTTCAGGGATTAATCCCTATCGATTGCTTCCGTGCAGCCGGTCAGGATCTATCGTCTTTCTTCTCTGAGAAGCGAGTTTCTAGTGCCCTCTATCAGGGATATACCAATTCTACCGATGCCGTAAACGGTGATATGAAGTAAGGTTTCGCTTTTGGACAGCTGTCCATGAGCTTCTTCATTGATAAGTTGCCCCTAGACGACTTTCACGTTTGCATGCACAAGCAAGCAACTTATGATATATACCCTCTTTTCAAAACTCGAAGCATTACTTGTTCTTCGGTCTTACGAATGACTACTTCGGCGCCTTGATTCATTTCTTCGATATCTTTCCCTCGCATGATTTGACACCTACTGTTGTAATTGTTCTATCCTCTGTCTTATTGGACTTTTTTCTGAAGGACAATGCTCTGCTTGAAGTACTTCTAGGACTCTACGAACATATTATATTGCCTTGAAGGCGTTCAGGCCTTTCGATGCGATGGTTTATATGCACGTGAGCGAAGACCTTGGTCGTTTTCTTGGGGTCCTTTTCGTGGAAGAATTGTCGCCTCAGCTGATCGAGACCCGCTTGAGTCACAGTGCGGCTGAAACTTCAGATCTTTACATTTGAATCTAATCTTCGAAAACTACGGATTTTCCCGGCCAAAGTACTTAATCAAGCTTTCAATTCTTTGGTACATCTGCAACGCTTTACTGGATATGCCCTCAAATTTTGCCTTATTGTGTCAAGTTCACATAAGCGGTGGGTTGGAATCCGTTTATCTCCTCAGTGGACGCGTTTTCAGCGTCCGCCAAAGGGGTATTCATCCTAGTAACAAGTCTAAGTCTTTTCATTGTTTATTTTTGAGTAATATACCGAACTAAACAATCTCGACGTGAATGGCATGAAGCCAACATAAACCTTCGATGGACTCTCTGATTGTTCAAAACGGGCCGTATAATATGACGCGGTAGAAGGCAAGGTACTAACACAAGGATAAGTGTTCGGAACCAAGGTCATGACAGTTACTTGGTACGTAGCGAACTCTGTTCATATTAAGATTAGAGAGCCCATTGAACAAATGACAGGCTATGATATTCCATATCGTATGATGTCATGTCTCTCACATTTACTGCAGCCCAACACAAGCCCGCCTCTTGATTGTTATGGCGCCGCACATCCTTCGGACTACGCCTTCCTCCGCTGAACTTCCTGCTACGACCTTGAAGCTGTTTTTCTGCGTGCTTTCAAACCTGCACTCTTGTGCCTGCCGTTCCCGCCTCGCGAAAACTTGTTCGCAAGAAGTTTCAGGTAGAAGATAGGAGATTCGAGGAGGTGGATTCATATCGGATCATTTACCTACGGCCAGTGTTGGAATAGGTTACGAATACGTAATGTATATGCTACTACCTCATCCCCTATGCCAGCCTCACTTTTGAGTCCTATTCAAGAATCTCTGCCTTCTCGTGTCTATCCCTATGGAAAATATCCATTCTTTTCTCGCTAACCTGATACGAAAGCTTACAGATAAGTGCGAACTTCAACATCATATTGAAAGCTCGCGACTACGTAATAAATGGCTCGAAAACTACCCGTGAGTTTTCTTCCAAACCCAATAGACTTTCGATATAACCACCTGTAGTTTCGAGCCCAGGGCCTCGATGGATCCTCCAGACCATTCTCGACCAGCATCCATTCGCATTGAGTATTGGACAAAACGAGCGTTTCGCCGGGACATCCGCTCTAGCCCTCGACGATTCGTTCTCATTGGACCGGCTTTGAAGCTCATACTTCAAGCGAAGCTATTATGGTAGCGTGGACCCTCCGAATCCTGCGGCTCCCGATCGTGAGCGGAGTTCTCATTTTCACATGCTTCACATTAGTCCTGACCACTCTGTCAACTCGAGACAAGCTCTGTAACAGTCAGAGTCTGTTATTTCGTCAATACGCCATATGCTAGATGGGGTCTCCCTGGAGAGAGAGCAGGGTTTCTTACTTGTTTGCGACTCCTGTTCTCGTCGGTCCATGGGGACAGTGAGTCCGTAATGAAGGTGGGGTCGATGATCTAGCATTTCATTTCGATGTTCGCCTGACCTTGGTGCAGGGAAGCTTGTATTGGACGCTTCACTGTAGGCTATAATTCACCGGCCGTCGGCCTTACAAGCACAACAAGCCCGGTTGTTCTGCCGCCCGCTTCCTTAATCTTCAGACTCCACTCCACGCACCCTCACGGCCTCATGGTTTCACATTTCCATTCCATTACA